AAAATCAAAATACTGAGAAAATCGCCTTTAAAGTTGTCCAAATGAAGTTCTTAGCAATGCATATTAATAATCAAAATTAAGTTTTGATACATTCACGGCATGAAATGTACAAAATATCTTCATGGAACGTGATCTTTACTTAATAGATTTTTGGCATAAAAAAATATTTACAATTTTGACCCATTACATTTTTTGAGCATGCAAAATGCAAGGCTGTCAGAGTCTCAGAGACCACATAATGGCGTTATTACCTAAAGAGCCACTGTATCGGTTGTTTGAAATGATCTGTTCGTAGGAACCGATTCGCAAAAATGAGTCAGTCTTCCTATCACTAACGACCACCACCATCCCCCACATACAAGTTCTTCCCCCAATGGGGTGAGAAAGACCCCTGCTATGACAAACCCTTTAACTTACTAGCAGCTATTTAAAGTTATTAGATATTTTTAAGTTGCGGACTTCTATTTTTATTAATAACAAATTGCTAATATTTGTAGTTGGCTTTTACAGAATAATGTGACACTGAATTTAAATTATCAATAATAAATCTTAATTGTTACATCATGCAATTTTAATCTTACACATTTTTTAAATTTCATTATTATGACTAGCCATTGCCAGTTCAAATTAATTCTTAGTACCGCACCTCCTAGTTAAACAAAAGCTTGACTTGTGTAATGACGGTTAATAACTAAATTAGTAGTAGTATCTTTAAAATATTTACCAATATGTTTAGAGGAACACATGTCAAAAGCAACAGCCATACATGTAGACTAAAATTATGAATATTCATAATATTTTAAGAGTGCTTGTAGGGAGCATAGAGGAACTGGACTTGTTCTTTTTTACCAGCAAAACATGCTTTCTGCTTTTTATTTTAATCAGAGATAAAAGGAAAGGAATGTTTTCTGCTGTATAAGGCAATGTCTATTGAGAAATGGATTGTCATGTTGTGTTAAGACACTGCTGGTTGTTGTCAAGAAACGATAGCTACTCTTCCTTGTCTCTGACTCAACCCGTATGCTACATATTGCATCACTCCTCATGGTGAGGTAAAAACCACAACACTTTGAAGACCCACAGCGAATATCATCCGCATGCATGTCATGTGCATTTCACCACAAAAACGACCAAAATTCGATAATCACTCCCTTAAGATCTTCATTTGCCCTGAAAATAACTTTTACTTGACAACGGGATTCTAAATCTTAAATTTTATTAAGAGAGATTTCCTAGACTGCAATATATTTATATACCACCGTTCATCATAAAGGAGGGGATGAATTCAACATCTTACAAATACATTTGTCATTTTTAGTCATAAATGTTATGTTTCTTGTGGAATTAACAGAATTATATCAAGACAATCTAACACAAAACGGTGCTTGTAGAACTAGCCGCACAGGTGATGCAATCTATGACAAGTTTCAAATAAAACAGCATGAACAAGAACAAATTAAACAATTAATTTCTGCGTCTCATAAAACCGTACAAAAAGTACCAACAGGTGCAACAAACAATTGAGAAAGGAAATCCTGTTTGGGTCACAGTTATTCATAGATGGCTTAATGCCCATCATGTAATGCATTTAAAGTATATTAAAGTTACAATTTGCAACTGACATGTCATTAATGTAGAAGCAGATACGTTCACAACAATGTTCCAGTTGAATGTTTTTAAGCCCCAGGGCTAATTGTCGAGACGTAAAGGGTGCTGTTGCAGAAATGACAAATTGTGGTTTTAAAAAATAATGGTTTATGAAATTATGTGACGATAATGAAGAGAACGAGAATGGGTGTCAATTTTCAAATCCAAACAGACAACACTTATCCGATTCATAATATTACCACGTGCTATAGAAATGAAATTGTCACAATTCAATCATCAAAATTGCTTACAAATTCTACAGTTTATCTCAAGCTGACCTACTGGATATTGTAACAAACCAGGATGAGTGTATTGTGGTGAAATCCTATATTTCTGATCTTATAACTGTGGTAGTAGTGAGAGATGGCTTATATTGCTGGGTTAAGTCTGCGTCTCGGTTAGTCTTGGCATACATAAGCGCGCTCCTGTGACTGTTCGTTTAAAATGGATATATTAGGTGCAGGAGACTGGAAGTAACGTTCGTAATCCACGGGTTCCTAGTGAGATTCCCCGTTGAGTGAGGAACCCTCCCCTCGTGGGGACGAGGATCTGGAGATCCCCTTCTCTGTGTTGTCTGAGTTGGATCCGCTCTGGCTGTGGTGGTCTCCAGATGCTGCGCTGGAGGACGAACTGGAGGAGGGCTTAGTTTTCTCTTTAAAGTCTGTTATGATAACCGTCAGATCTCCCACTGTCACTTCCAGATGTTGTGCGCTGCTCCGGTCCACATTTTTTAACCTGGGCCTGCAGGATAGGCAGCAAAGAACAGGTCAGACATGCTTGACATCACTCGAGCTGAATAATGGCACTATTTTCTTCTGTAGAGCTTCTCTATAGCGCTTCATAATTGATGAACTTGACAACATCGACACCGAACTAAACTTAGCTGCACTGAGACACCATTGTCTTCTGTAGAGCTGCTTTACAGCTGAAATTTAAATAGTTTCATAATTGATGCATTTAGCAACATTAACACTGTAATTTAACTGTTTATAACTGTGACGCTGTTTTGAAACTGAATCTGTATTATATAAAATAAATTGGCTTGTTGTATAAATACAATTGACTTGAATTGCTAGTATAATAGAGCATGGAAGTGAGCCTGGCAAGTATTTTCTCATTCATTTTCTCCATTGGCAATTTAAAAAAAAATCAGGGAGGCAATGAACCAAACTAATGATCAAAGAGATGAATCAGAATATCAGAAACATTGATTTGAAGACTTTTTGACATACGGAAATGTGTATTTGAACAAAACTCTGTATCCAACATCTCTCACAAGGGACTAAATGACAATGAATATATAATATACATACTACATATACATAATAGAGCCTGACCGATATGGGTTTTTTGGGGCCGATGCCCATATATATATATACACCCATATTAGGGAGTAAAAAAAGTCAGATATCGATATATCGGCCGATATTCTTTGTGTATATTATAGCACAGTACCAGTCAAAAGTTTGGACACACTTCCCATTCGTGTGTCAAAACTTTTGACTGGTACTGTGTATAGAATACAGTATATACATAAACAGAATATATATATATATATATATATATATATATATATATATACATAAACAC